TAGCACCATGCAGGCAACAGACTTTCATTTGGGAAACTCAAGGGAAGATTTTGAAGAGTAGCTTGTATTCTTGGTGGCAGTGTTTTGTTCATGGATGACATGAAGCAAAACAGTGGTCTTGCATTTGGGGCATCTTGGGTCCTCTTCTGATAGCATGATGTACATGAGGCATTGAGGGCAACCCACCAGAACCATGGATGTGGCCTTGGGGCTCTTACAGTACTCTTCTGATGAGACACATGAGCGCGGTGACATTGTTTTTGATCCAGGCGGGGAGTCGACTCGAATATTTGGCCTTGGGGGAGATAAACTCAACTTGAGATCGAATTTTGTTCCGTTTCCACTGCTCATGGTTGTCCTGGTTCGAATTAATTTCCTGCACTCTAATTGCACCTGTCTAAATTAGCAGAAAAATTAAGAACAACTTGCAAACGTCCTAAAGAACGATTGGATATATCTTATAAATGTATGATTCACTGAAATAACATGGGATCAAACAGAAATAGTTATGTTTCACGTGATCAAGAAACTTTTGCCAACCTATACAAGAGGAGAGGACGAGGCTCGTGTAATCCTATGGGTGATGGCTAGTGTGGAACATCTAAGACCATTATGTATAAGAGGAGGGCTTGAGAGGAAAGAGAGATGGGATTGTATTTGAAGCTTAATTCAATTATGGTGAGAGGTGGGGAGTGTATATATAGATCGAACAGTTGAAAAAGGATGGAGAGAGAAATGGGGAAGGAGTATTCAATTGAATTTGAAGGAGGAATGGTATAAGTTGTTAATTTGGGTCAATAACTTGTGTTAAGTATTGGTTACGCAAGTGATAACACTCAATTTATTTAGATTTATTCTCAATGCGAAAGCTATATCTTCTAAGGATAGCAACAAGACAGAGAATCTCCGAGTTAATCGAGGATAGGGAAGGGACGGAGACTGGAATGAGGCTAAGAAATCAACCTCAAACTGGGGATGGGGGATCATGCTCCTCACCCCACCTCACCCCGTCCCATTTCAAACATTGAATTATATTCGTGATAAAAATAATAAACGGGGATTGAGGCCATTTCCATTCCAAACTCGTCCACTTGTCATTCCTAATCTCTACTCAATGTCGTTGCACGATTTCACTATACCTAAGTAAAAGAAAGATCACACTATTTTCTTATTTTGACTCATTCCTCTTTGCTTTCTGCTTATACAAAAAATTAAAAAAATAAAATAGAAGGAGCTTCATCTTAACACCCTTTATATTGGATGAAATATTAAGACAATCTAATACATGTGCAAATTTATCAAAGTATTCCTGTAATACTTCTAAAAATCACTTTGATGTGCGCTCGTCGACCTTCCAATAAATTCGAATCGCAATCCAAGGAAAAATGTATAGTATAATTAGTCTTTTGTAACATTTAACTAGTTGAATTTGTATATGTGAGTGGGTGGTTTTGGCCGGTGGGTTGAGAATTCTTAAGGATACAGGCAAAAAAAAAAAATAATAATAATAATAATAAAGAAGAAGAAGAAGGGAAAATTCTAACCAGCTTTGAATGCTAAACTAAGATATCTCTTTTGAATTTTGAAGTCCAAGATTTACTATATATATAAACACGCTTAATTTTCAAAATGCATACGTAATGTCAAATGTGGTTGTTGGCCTCCATGAAATTATTGAGTATTTCTCACTAGCGGATATTAACCATGATGTTAGCATCATTGCTTGTCAAACGGCCCCATGTTACCATTTATTGCGATTTATTATGTTTGCTGAACTTCGATGATAACATTTTGAATACAAAAGTCAAGTAGAAATGAAGCAACAATTGAACAATTAAATACATTATCTAAGATTTTAATATGTTAGGCAACGAAATTTGACCATTCTGTGATGATAGTGTAACATATTACTTCATCTAAAACTTAGGTTATTAAAGCGTGAATAATCTATTTATTGGATAAAACCTTTTTAATCGTTGCTAAAATTGCTTTTACAATGATGACGCGAGTAAAAATGCAAGTCGAGGAGATAATTGGGAAGCAACATTGGTCATGCAGACATATATGCATGTAGTTTAAAATAAAGAGTGTTCTTTTTGTTTAAAGTTCTGGTATCTATATCCTTCTCCTTGCTTGTCAACTTTGTATATAGAGTAATTAATGTGTTCTTATCTACTTGTCTAACTATTCAACAAATTTCCTCTCTTGTGCTCTACATTTCAACCAAGGAACAAAATTAGTGCTCCTTGTTGAACAAAATTATTCATTTAGATATTAGTTCAACAACTGATCTAGGAAAGCAACTTCAACTTTGGTGTAGAATTTGACAATCAAGACTAGGGATGTCAATTCGACTAGTTGGCTCAAGCGGCCCGTGACTATCAAAAAAAAGTTCGAGCCTGCTCGGCTCATAGGTCATTGGAATCAAGCAAAGGCTCAGGCCAAGCCTCATTTTTTAGTATTGGCTTGTGTTGATCACTAACATGGGCTTTTTGGCCCGTGTCAAATACCTTTGAAAAAATATATATAGAATTTCAGCAAAAAAAAAAAAAAAGGCTCAGTTCGACAAGGTTGAACTATTGAAGAGTGTTTGGGAGCCATTAATTTTGGCCAAAAATTAATTATTGGACCATTAGCAATTATTTGTATGACACCGCATGTGAAGTACCCAGAGACAACGGCTGTATCTTTTCCATAAACTGCCATTTCAATAGATTTTAGGCACAATTTGACTTGTTCTGATTTTTTATAAGTACAAAGGGTAAAGTTGGAATTTTATACCATTTGAATTCAAATAACAATAAACAATAGTGTGTAGGTCCCACGTTGACATGACGGAAAAAATGCATTTTGGATAAAAATGGATGTCAAACGGTATATGTGACTCAATTAGAATGTCCACAATTTGTATGTCCATAATGGGCTAGCCAAATAGTAAATATGATGTGAAAATCCTAAAATCTTGAATTTTCTGATTTTTTATAAGTACAAAGGGTAAAGTTGGAATTTTATACCATTTGAATTCAAATAACAATAAACAATAGTGTGTAGGTCCCACGTTGACATGACGGAAAAAATGCATTTTGGATAAAAATGGATGTCAAACGGTATATGTGACTCAATTAGAATGTCCACAATTTGTATGTCCATAATGGGCTAGCCAAATAGTAAATATGATGTGAAAATCCTAAAATCTTGAATTTAAATTATTTCGAGGTCACAAGTCAAAAATTTTACAGGTCACAGTTTATTTCATTGATCACAGATGAAAAATTTATAAGTCACAGTTTATCTATCGATCACATATTTTCGAATTTGTTGGTCACAATTATCAAATTTTAAGATCACGAGTAATCAAATAGTCAGTCACGGGACAAATAGTTGGTCACATTACATACCACCACCACCTCCACTGCCACTTTCCACCATCTTCACCGTGTCACTGCTACCGACCACCATCTCGCGGTCGACACTATCACCACCACCACCAGTTCCAATAACGACCCAATTCCCTCGACACAACCAAAACACCATCCACCACCATTCCAACAACAACAAAAAACCACCAACATCACCACTACCCCAACACCGCACCACCACCACTCCATTACCACCACCAATACCATAGCACCAACACTGCCAGAGGCACCGCACATAGTACCAACAACACCATTGTACATACCACCACAAGCAGTGGCGCAGCACATCTTCTTTGCAGAGGAAAAGTGGGGGCGCAAACATCAACACCTCACCTGCAAAACTGTTACCGCACATCTTCGATCTGAACAACTGCCACCAATATGATCAACACCACCACCATCGTCCACCGCCCCCAACACCTCACCTGCAAAACTGGTTGCCACCACCAAGACCAAGACCAAGACCATCAACATCGTCCATCGCCACCAACACCATCAACATCTTCGCATGGCGTACCTTAGGTGGAGATCCTCACAACAGCGATGTTCTTGGGGACCTCTTGAGGACGGTGTCGCTCAGGTCGTCTTCGCGCCTTTTGCAGAAGGCGCTGATTTTCTTATAGCGGCGCCAGTGATGGCGAGTGGTGAGAGAGGAGAGACGGATCTTGATCTAGGGTTTAGAATAAAATTGGGATGAATTGAAATAGGATCGAATTATTTTATATTAATAGTAATATTATTAATAATTGAATTAACACCTGAATTCTGAATAACAAATTTTCCAACATGATTTTTGCATTCTGATCTTTAAATGCCTGAAATCTTGTAATTTCCCTTTGGACAATATCTCAGAAAGAGTTAAAATCCCCGCAGCGCAAGAACAATCCCAAAAAGTTGAAGTTCCTTGGTCTTATTTGCTCAAGCTCTACTTTTTTTTATTATAGAGTTATTTAACAGGATAATTACATTTGATGGCCACTTTTTCCATGTTTTTAATGTTGGATCCGAAGGGATTGTAATGAATGAGATTAATGATGCAATATGAAGTAGTGGAGATCACAACAAGAAATAGGATTAAAAGTAAAGAAAAACAAAGAGAGTTAATCCTGAGAAATGATGTATATTAACTGACAATATGAAAGGAAATTACAGACACAACAATAATGCTTAAATAAATTGGAAGAGAGCCTTGTATTTATAAGTCACGTTCCAAACCTTAGAAGAGTTCAAAAATGTAAGAAAATCTGTTAATATTAAGTTACAACTGCACATAGAACTTCAACCGAGAGATGATTTCCTTTCCTTATTCAACTTGGATACAATCTTCATTTTCAAGTAAAAATCAAATACACAAAACTCTTAACCATATTTGAGTCACAAAACCTAATAATCTTCACTTGACTCAAATTTTGGTACAATGAACAGAGCTCCACAAAATTTCTCCACTTGAGAAATAAATTCATTTGCATCGAAATGAAAAGGCCAATTTCCCCAACAAAGTAACCAAATCTCTCCATAGAAACCATCGTCCTCTGCATGGCGTCCATAAGCGACACTTGAACCCTACTCCCAAATTCCCAAAATTCCACCAAGAAATTAATGTTTACCAAATAGGGTCGAAGCACACCCTGTAGCAGAAAATATACAAAATGTATGAACAAAAGGCACATTGCTAGAATTGTCACCTTCAACGTCCCAAAAAGCGTTGCAGACATCACTAGCACCACAGTATCTACGCTTAATGGATCCAACCCTAGAACTAAACACAGTACAGCCACTGAAATTGGTTGTAAAGCGGAATCACCAACACTCCCTAGCAATGTTTTGAACCTACCCAAAGCCCGTCATAAGAGGTATTGTACCAAACTAAATATCCACCATGGTGCTGAACTTGTCCAAATGTCTATTAACTAGTTCTGCGCTCCCCTGCAAGATATACAACTGAGACATTCTCCGTCCCTCTAGTACAACCGGACACCCTTTCGGATCTTTAAGTCTCCACCTCCACTAGAGAATTTTTACCCTTTTGCATCTAAAGTACTAAGCAAGATGAAATTCCTTTTCAGGCCTGGAACATGTCTAACCTGATCAATTATTCTGACAGTCCTATCTCACAGCCTAACTTTGACTCGACCAATCCCAACAATACGACAAGACTGATTGTTTCCCATTATAACTCCACATTGCTGAACAGCCTCATATGTCTAAAAGAAATTTCGATTGAAATACATATGATGTGAACATCCCGAATCGAGAGTCCATTCCTCGTCAAGCCTAGATTTCACGTCAGATACCACGATCAACATTACATCTTCGTTGTTTGAAAAGTTCTCAACTATATTTGTTTTGTCTAAATCAAAGGTTACACTCCATGATATGCAGCTAAATCACTTTTAACCTGCAACTTATCGCAATCCTTTCGAATTTGTCTCTTACGTTTGCAGTAGAAGCAAAACAAATTGTTATTATTCTTCGATCTACCCTCCATCAACCACCATGAGAGACAAGAGCTTTTTCATCCCTCAATTTAGCTCCAACCAAAGACTTCAACTTCTCTTTTGAGTATAAAACATCATAGACATCGTCTATAGTCAAAATATCTCGACTATACAAAAATGGTGTTCCGAAACGATGCGTAAGAGCCAGGCATCGAACACAATGGAATCAAGGTCAGATCCTCTTCATCATACTTAACCTCCAACATCTCCAGATCTGCAACTATTTCCTTGAACACGACAATTTGGTCCTCCAATTACAATCATTCAGCCATGCGATGGGAATACAATTTTTGCTTTAAAGCTAGTTTGCTCGTGAGACTGTTATTCATGCAAAACTGTTTCAATTTCAACCACAAAGCAGCCGCTATTTTCTCCTTCAAGATATCCTGCAGAATATTGTTGGATAAATGAAGATGGATCTGCTATAAAGCCTTCTGACCCCTTCATTGTTCAATCAGCTGTCATCTTCTCAAAACTCAGCAGCACATCGTCCAAATTCAACTACGCCAAAATAGCCCTCGTCTTTACTTGACACAAAGAAAACCTTATATTGCGATCCAACAGCAGAACATCATATTTCAATATAGCTATCTCTAAAAAAATCTCAATCAATTTATGAAGAACCTGAAGCCTAGCTCTAATACCACTTGTTGGACCCTGAGAGATTGTAGTGAATGAGATTAATAACAACAATTTGAAGTAATAAAGATCACAATAAGAAACAAGATTAAAAGTAAAGAAAGGCAAAGAGAGTTAATCGCAGAGCAACGATGTATATTAACTGACAATATGAAAAAAAATTATAGAACAGCATAAAGTTTAAACAAAATTGATAGATGAGCCTTTTATTTATAAGCCATATTATAAACCCTAGAAGAGTCCTAAAAGGTAAGAAAATCTGTTAAATTATGTTCCAATTGTGCATAGAACTTCAACCAAAAGATGATTTCCTTTCCTTATTCAACTTGGATACAATCTTCCTTTCTAAGTAAAAATCAAATACACAATTTTATATGACTCCTAACCATATTTGAGTCACAAAACCTAACATTTAACCCAACAAAATCTAAAATAGAAGCCACCTATTTCTTTTCCTCTTCTGATATACTTCAGGACCACATAAATTAAGACTAATCTTGGCTTCTAAATATCTCGTCTACCTCTTACGTAGAACTCTTTTGCTTTTCGACTCAATTTGATATTATATGTTGCTTTGGCCTAGACAAGATTATAAGAATTTCAACTGCTTATTCTTAAAATCTTAACCTTGAAAAGAGTTAAATCCCCAAGGAAACTATCAGTGTAATGCTGAACAAACATGAATAATATGTTTGTTTTTTGTAGTGTCTTACCAGCAAGGAAAAATATCTTGTTATTCCAAGCTTTGATTCCAAATTGAGCTAATTGCAAATTTGAGTTCTGAGAGGCGATAATGGCGATAGGCCCTCCAAATATACAACTTTTCATTGTGACCATTTACTAAAAAATTAAAAATACTCAGCTGAGCCTCTAGGAACCTGAGTACATCTCCATGCCACAAGTTGAACGATTTCCTCTGGTTTTGCTTGACATAGGTTTTGGTTCCTGTTTCTTCAAAACACTAACATTTCTTGATTATATAGTAAGATAGATGAGAGTCCTATCATATGACATAGGTTTAAAGCTATACCTAGACACGATTCATGGATTAAGAGCATGTTGATATTTAGTTCTAAATAGCAGAGCCGGTCCTGTGGCCAGGCAAATGAGGCCTGTGCCTCAAGGCCCAGACCATAGGGGGCCTATTTTTGCTGAAAAGTTTTTTTTTTTTTTTAAATATTAGAAGAAGAAAAAGGAAAATAGTTTTTCATTAATTGTGAGATGATTGAAATATTTGTTTGTTGTTCAAATGTTAAGTTTTAAGTTGGCAATATTTTGCATAATATATCGTTTAATTTGGAATTTACTTTAATTTTGGGGAGCCTAATTTTTGGACTTTGTCTCGGGTCCGGACAAACACAGGACCGACCCTGCTAAATAGAACCGAAGATTAAATGGACAAAATTTTAACTTATTTTCGTCTTTTATTATTATTCAATGTTGTCTAGTCTTCACTAAACTTGTATTTAAATGGGACTCTCCTCCAACAACAATGAAAACTGACTCAACATCACATTGATGTGGCAAAACGAACGTGCTTATATTAGCCTCAAGAACTGCTAGTCGATAATTTTCGGTACTTGGAGAATTTGAGACCTCTTTGAGAACCTCTCCAGAACTTTGATATGCCCTTCTTGAGTCCTATATATTGAACTAAATGTTTGTGAGTCGAAGAAGTAAGGACTATTGGTTTCTCTTTTCGCCATTATGTTCGAAGCTGCTCATCTTGTTGCTCTGTATACTCATTTTCACATTGTTGTTCCGATCTCCCCTATCCATGTTCTTGTCTTTGGCACCGTTTGTACCGCTGTTGAGGATCAAGGTGATGATCCTTCTCCATCGTGGATTCGTGCCTATTTTTCAAGCATATAAGTTGAAAAGTGGGTTCAACTAAGCTTTAGTAAAACTTCATGTTTAAACAAAATTTCATTTTATTTTAAATTGAACTTCATTACAGTTCAACCAGAGTCTTACTAACTGTCAATATGACGACCGAAAAAGGTGATGTCTCCCTTATATTATTTTTTAAATATGTTGTCACAACTAGATGGTTTGGAGCTATGTTCGAAATTGTTTGTGGGTATGCTTGCTACAAGAAACTTGTGCATTTGTGTTTGATTTAATTGAAGTGAATTTGTTCTACATAATAGCAAATTTATATTGTTCGATTTTTCATTAATTTTTTTGTATTGTTATTCCAATATTATCCCTTAGGGAATAATTTCAACAAATTTAACTTTTTTAATATTATTATAATATTGTATTGTTTGGGAAAAAAAAACTTGTAATTAAGTGTCTATTTGAAAATTTTATAAATGATTTTATTAGACGAGTCTCATGAAATATGTGGACAATAATGAGTAATATTTCTTCTGTCATAAAAAGATAGGCTTATTTCCATTTTTATGCAGATTAAAAAAATGTAATTAACATAATCGAAAATATAATTTTCTCTAATATTTTTGCTCATATATTCGTACATTAAATAATTATTTAAATAGAAGTAATTCACATTTGTTGATAAAAAGGCTCATTAAATAGAGATATTAAAAAAAAAAAATCAACTATATTCTTAACAAGGAAAGTTGCTTGTAATTTAGGACAAAAGAAAAAAATAAAGCAAGTCTATCTTTATGATATGGAGGGAGTAGTTATAAATGCGATTGAAATTAATGATTGATTTTGATTAAATTTATGATCCATTCATAAATTGTTATGCAAATTGAGTGTAAGTTTTATCCATATTGGATCCTAGAGATGGTTCCAGCACTGTCTGATGGTGTTTTGTATTTAAATTTTTTTCACATGAAGTGATCTTTAAGAAATCAAAAGGTGAAATGGAGATTCGTCGTTAATATTTTAATTCCGTCAATTTCTTCTTCTTTTGAAAGTAACTTACATTATTTATATATTTTGTTTGAATAATTGAATTTGTGTGTAAGTTCCTAAAATAACAATATGATAAAAGTGAGTGATGTGTAAGTGGTTAATGGTTGTGGGAACTAAGAAATTTGTAAAGTTTGAGATCTCATTAATTAAACATAAATAAATTTAGTTAACAAACAGACAGGACCGTGGACGTGCCGGAGTGGTTATCGGGCATGACTAGAAATCATGTGGGCTCTGCCCGCGCAGGTTCGAATCCTGCCGTTCACGTATTTTTTACATGTTATCAATCCTGTATTAGTTCTCCAATCATAGTTAATATTAGGAACATGTCAAGCTTGCCTCATTTCTTAGTCGGACCAAATTTAAAGATTAAAAATAATGTTGTTTTTATTGTATTCCAGTGCTCAAATCACATATTTGTTTTATCTCGTGCTTAAAAAGGAAAACTTATTTTAATTATAAGTAACCATAAGTAGAAAAGTGAATCTATCAAGCTCTGCAACCTGTTTTATGCTTTTGTAATCTTTACAGACAAAAGAAAAAGCAGACAACAATACATGAGAGCTATCTTCCCAATATTACCACTTTTCAGTGAAATCATTGGCAATATTAGAGAGTGCATATCAAATTCTCACTTCTCTTC